AACAGACACATTGGGGGAAATCATGATCATCTGCAGACCGGAAGTGACGCAGAAGGGCAGGAGAAAGCTGCCTGTTGCCAGAGCTCGCCGCTAAACTGCCGGTTGACAGAGAATGATAGATTTTGCAGGTGCTGAACACCCTAACCCATACAAGCCTGTGCACACTAAGCCTGTGATGGAAAACATGCAGCATCATCATAAGAAGAACTGTTGCTCAGTTTGGTGGAACTTGAAGATACAGCGTGAAGAGACCTGGCTTGGCGTTTGTATTTGTTCTGCTTGGCCTTTCTCTATACTGCATGACACCAACATAATGGTGATTTACATTACAGTTTTTATGACTAGGAATGCAACTACAAGCGGCACAGGACAATAATTTCCAATGGACAGTGGTTACATACATGTACACTTTCACTAAGTGAAAATCCTTGCACCAAGTGAAAGAAAAAAAAAAGTGAGACAAACTTGTAAGGCTATATGAGCTGGCGAAGGACATTGTTGGCTTTTTATTGCACGTGTTCGACATCGCTTGAGCCCTAGCCTGCCTGGCCTTGTCAACCGTGGGCTTTCGGTGAGCAAAAATAGTTGGGACAGAGTATTTCATAATTGTTTTCCACAGGAGGTTGCAGCCGAGACTTTCTGGTTACTTCTTTTCTTCTTTTGAGTTTGTCCATTGGGTCCCATGAAGCCACGTTGCCACTATATTCACCTTTTGTGGAAATTTCATTTGATTTGGAATCTGAGAGAAAAACATTTCTCAATGATTTCCTGTGCTCATTTGTGCAATTCAAAAGCTTGGCACATTTGACTGTTGCTGTGCAGGATACATAACATATTCTCAGGAGTTCTTTTCCTCTCAAGAGGGTGAAAAGACCGAAAAATTACAGCATAAGGGAGAATACGGTTGCATGCAAATGTTAATACTATATAATATTTAAATATTCCATAAGTTAAGGGAAGAGCAGCTCATAAAGATGATATGCATATTTAAAATACTGTACCCGGTGCGATTTGAGTAATGACATTTTAATTGGTTCACCCACATTCAAACATTTGTTAAGTTTGGTTTGTGCAACTTTAGCTTTCAAGCCCATAGGGAATGTAGTCTGCAGCTCCCTGACCTTGACATGGACCTCAGGGTATTGGAGAGCCGTATCAGTGGCTGTGGTGTTTGGCTGTAACTGAACCAGACAGACAGCTGCTGTCTGTCGGCTCACCCTCAGTCATCAGCTCCAGTCATGTACCAACACGGTACTCACACCAAGCGCCAAACCACCTGGCTCTGAACAGCGCACACATGGACATGGAGTGTGTGTGTGTGTGTGTGTGTGTGTGTGTGTGTGTGTGTGTGTGTGTGTGTGTGTGTGTGTGTGTGTGTGTGTGTGTGTGTGTGTGTGTGTATCTATCTATCTATATATATCAAGCTAGAATCACAGGACCCTGTGCCATTTGGCTATACATGTGAATGGAAAGCGAATAAAAATACACAAATCAAATCGTGAAATGTTGCGAATGTTGAAAGGAATTTCAGATCCACACAGATTCCCACTTGATCCTCGTAGGTTTTCCTACATAACTTATTAATGGCCTCTTGTATGCATGGCTAAATTGTTCATTAACCCACAGCTGTCATAACCAAGAAAACGTTCTTTGTCATCATGTTGTTCAAAAAGAATCTGAGATGCATTGCTTTTGTACTTGTTTATGGTCAGCACGTGTGTACGGGAAGCTGCTGCAAAGACCACGTGTTCATACGTCATATGCAGAGCATCAACGCTGCTAATCATGTGTCACATCGTCTATATTTAAGCATGCCATGAGTGTTTTGGCTATGGCATTGGCAGTTAAAAAAAAAGTATTTTTACATCTGGTCGGGTGTACGACAACGTTTTCTAGTGTGTAATGGGAGCAAAGTAAGGCAGGCATGCATCATGAGCAAAACATTTGCAATAAAAGTGTAAACTATTACAAAGTACCTGGATATCTGCATAAACTGGTCATAAATGTCATTTGATTTCGATCTAAGTCACAACAACATTTAGAGTTTGCTGAAAATAATGCGGACCCTCACAAAGAAAATTATGGTCTCATGTTTTTAGGTTTTTATAGGACACACCGTGTAAACAATCACAGTGCATGGTCGAAAAAGTATGTAAACCACTAGTCTAATGACTTCTCCAAGAGCCCAATGAGCCCGATTGACGTGACAGACGTGACATCACTGATGTATTTTCTATTGTCAAGAAGCATTGACTGATGTGGAACAAGCCTCACATCATCGGGCTCTCAGAATACTGACAATTAAGAATACATTTGCACGAAGCTTGAAAGGATCACATAAGTGTCACTAAAAGCCTTCACGTTCATCCGTCCACGGTAAGATAGTTTTTCGTTTAAATGAAGAATGTCTGAGCACTGTGACATTTTCTTTTGAATAAAAACAGCTTCATGAATAAAGTCTATGATTACTAATATTCAATTTGTTGCATTTTTTCCTGGGAGTGACTCTCCCGTAAACATGACTGCTAAAGCACAACGCGGAATGTTTAATGCCGTGAAGAAAACCCGTAGAGTGTTGGCTAAAGATTTACAGAAATGCCTGGCATAGGTTAACATCATTGATTACAAATTTCCGAAAAGTAAAATATTAAACAAGAATGGTTGTCCTAGTAGCACACCACAGAAGATGTCACTGCGGTCCCCCCCAAAAAATAAAAAAAAACATTGCTGCAAGTTTGAAGTTTGCAGAAGAGAGCCCCAAAACTACTGTGCAGACAGATGAAAGGCGTTAATTGGTAGGAATATACAATAAAATGGGCGTAGTCTAACTGTGAAAAGTTTTCTGTCTTTGGCATTCATTTTTGTCGATGTCCCCACCTAGAAGTGGGCGTCTGTGTATGTACACAGCCGACTTCATTAAATCGAAGCGGCTCGCCTCATTCCCTTGAAATTCAATGCAGGAGAGGGGTGTGGTCTACATGGCGGAAGCATAACCGACTAGTTTGAGTCCGTACAGAAGATCGGTGTGCCCAAAGTACGTTTATAAAGAAGTGCAAGAAGATCTCCACTACCTGATGATGTAATATTTGACCGCTGCCTAGTGGGCACTCAGAGACGCCTTGAACCAATTCTTCAACCAACACACACACACACGCACGCACGCACACACACACACACACACACACACACACACACTAGTTACGAAATACAATGACACACCACATATATAAGCAGAGTATAAAGTCGAGTCTACTTTCTGTCACCAAATTGTCAGGTGCGACATGGGCATGTAATAGAAAATCCCCTCAGTCAGCTGGAACGCCCAGTGAGGCATTGCACGGTCTGCCGAATTCCCAAACATAGAAAACTCGACTTGCCCCGGCATGTAAATGAAGATGCGACCGTTTTTATGTCGAGCACATATGTGCCTGTCTCCGAAAATAGTGTGTCGAAAAAAAAAGGCACAACACAAGACCATGAAAATCTCATGGGTATTGATTGATTATGGTTTTGGTGCCCTTGATAACTTTGCTCACACAGGGCCTGGACGAATTGCTGTTCTAGGCAGAAAAAATTATTTCTAAGTTCGAGTATTTGTCTGATTATTAAATTGTAACCAAGGATGGAAGCTGTAACAGGACAACAAACTACATGCCAGTAGTAAATGAGACACTGAATGTTTTCAAACATAAGAAAATTGGCCTTAAGGAGTGGCCTAGTCAGTGGCCTGACCTCAACCTAACTGAGGTGCTATTGATCCTCAAAAGAGCAATTCATGCCAGACACCCCAAGAATATTGCTAAACTGAAACAGATTTGTCAAGAGAAATCACCCAAAGCTCTTTCTGACTGTTGTGCAGATCTAACCAAGGAACATTTGGTTGAAGTTAGAGCTGCCAAAGAAGCCTCAACCAGTTATTAAATCCAAAACGTTCACACTTTTTCCACCCTGGATTGTGACATCAACATGTGTTTGGTTAAAAAACAAACAAACAAAAAATACTCAACACAAATGATTTTGTTTGTTCTTTTTTATTAACGCTGTTTGTCTATTGTTGTGAACATCCTATCACATTTTAGGACCGGATTGTGCAAAAATTCCAAAGGATTCCCATGCTTTTTCTTACATCTGTAGCTGAGACAACCGTGATGTTTGAAAAAAGATATCTATAAATTTGATAGACCTTGTCACTGTCAACTCTGAACCCACAAAATTCAGGCAGCAGAGAGATTCCGGGGTGAAGGGGCGGTGCGACTCTGATTTTGGGGGATGGAACGCCTTGCTCACGAGTACCCTCACAGTGTTCAGAGAGATTATTAAATTTCAATGTTTTATTTATTTATTTTTTAGCCACAGGAAGATTTGAACCCTTGACCTTCAAGCCCTTCAGCTGACTGACTGAGTCACTGCTGAACAGAAAGACCTGGGCCAGAAATCCAAACTTCAAAGCCAAGTAATGTTGACTGCTCATGCAAAACAGAGCTGATAGAAGAGAGATGGTCTCCTGTGACTAATTTAAAGCTCATTTTTATCACAGATGACAATTGTATCTTCTGCTGAAATAGAAATGACGTTGCACCCCAAAAAGTTTGGTGGTAAAATGACACTGTAAAGGACAAAATGGTCCAAAAGGTAAAGAGCAAGGGTTCAAATGTGACCAAGTGATTCTGTGTCATGTGCTCTTGCTTGCCTCCTAACCAGCAATTTGTACTTTTCCTTTAAATATTTAAACGTTGGAAATTTGGAAACAAGAATATCTCTGGTGTCTAGTCGTCATTGCAAATGCCTACTCCATTCCTACTCCAAAAATATTATTATTCTTTACTAGAGGAAATGTCTGAAATCCAAACAAATCCAAGGTCAATGCTTTCATTTGCTTAGGAATGCTTTGATTGCGTTTGTGACCTATATTTGGTTCATGATCATTTTTATTTGGTTCTGAAAATGTCATTGGCTGTCATATTTCTGACCACAAAATATTTCTCGTTATCTGTGAAGGTAGAAAAGAAGCATTCTCATGTTGTTGTAAGGATCACTTTATCCACCACAGACAAGTTGTTTCATCCAAAATAAAGTAAATGTGAATCATATCAGACGGTGGTTGGTGAAGAATTTCAGTGGTACCTTTCCAGCACTGTTGGGATGCATGAATATCACCACTTGAGTTTTGAGGTTAAGAACTCGGGGAGTTGTGGGAGTATCCATTTCCCAGCACAAACCACTCAGCCTCGTTTAATCCCCATGTTGCCTCTGCTCCCAGCAACAGCTCCAATCCTGTCCTCTAGGTAGGGCACAGGGCAGCCCTCAGGGGTCAGGGGTCATGGGTCAGGGCAGTTCTTTCAGCTGGACAATAGCCAAGCGCCACCTGGAGTAAATCAGTGACTGTCTCAGGCGATTGGCCGTGACAGCCACCATTACCGGAGCCAAATAAACGTAGCAGAGAAAAAGGATTGGTGGGTAAAACCTACTAGACAATCCTGCAGATGTCATTCATCAAGACTGGCAGCGCCGAAGGTCCGAAAGGCCACAGCTCACCTCCCCCATGGGTGCCTGTGATTGTTGGATTGCACAAGGTGAAGGGTGTCCTAAGAAGGCACCTATCATTGGTTTTAAAGTGAGTGTGCAAGTGTATGTCGGGGAGAGTAATTCATATTTCATAGGATTTGTTTCACGCTCATCTTGTGAGCTGTCCTGTCCGTGTGTCACTTAGTCTTAAGAAGTAATTTGAATGCCAAGTGCTGAAATGCTAAAAATAGTAACCCGAGTGAAAATAGTACATATATTGATAAGAATCACAAGATCAGACATTTTGCCCTTATTTTAGGGCACTATTTGGAATGAGAATTGAGAAAACCTTCATACATAACAGTTGATATGAGGGTTGAATGATTCATTGCGTTTGCAATATAATCGCCATTTGATAAGACATGATTTACTCATCGTAAAAACTGCAATTCAAATCGTCATTGAGACGCGGGGCGGAGGGGAGGAGGGCGGCAGAGACGGTGTGAGCATGCAAAGAGGTCATTACTCTCACTTAAACCTACTGCCGTAGGTGTGCATCATTTTCAGTAACTTTTCTGTCTCCGGAGGCGAGTATCTAACATATTTTTCCCCTCAAAAGGTTAAAAAACAAAATTTCATCGTGTATGTGTGAGGGTGGGAAACTCGTCTCTGGGTGTGAGTGTGTGGCTGATAAATATATCGTGTGAACCACCACAACAGCTGTGACGCACATGTAAAATGAACTAAAAGCGTTGACTTTGATTGACATGTCATGATGTATGCACATGGGGCGCTGCTGGGTGGTGACTAACCAAAACACATCCTCCGGTCATATGATTTGAAAATGGAAGCACCCTGTTTCCATATATCCATCCATTTTCCGATCCGCTTTATCCTCACAAGGGTCGCGGGCTGTGCTGGAGCCTATCCCAGCTTTTTTCAGGCAGTAGGCAGGGTACACCCTCAACTGGTTGCCAGCCAATCGCAGGGCACACAGAAACGAACAAGCAGTCGTGCCCAAAATCACACTTATGGACATTTTAGAGTGTTCCATTAAGCTGTCATGCCTGATTTTGGAATGTGAGAAGAAACTGGAGTACCCGGAGAAAACCCACGCAGGCATGGGGAGCACATGCAAACTACACACAGGAAGGCCGGAGCTGGAATTGAACTCTACATTTCTGTATTGTGACGCCGACGTGCGAACCAAACCCTTGTGAGGGTAAAGCGGATCGGAAAATGGATGGATGGAATTATGTTGTCAGGGTGAATGCTTTTCAGACTTCATGTGAAAGTATTTAGTAAGTTTAAACCTAGAATTGTAGTAGAGAAATAAACTTTTGTCTTTTACACTAATTAATGCTTTGTTTGCCTTTATTTTTAATATCCTATAATCTAATAGATCTTTTTTATTGTAATAAAGATTAATTCAATGATGTTTGGTGAAAAAAATATATACCTGTATCTTGAAATGGATCTTGAAAAAAAAGAATCGGATATTATCTCGTAATCACAATTTTTAGGGGAGGAAAATAATTGCATTCGATTGTGTTCCATGATCTTTCAGCCCGAGACACAGTACAATAAAACACACACACAAAGGGGATCAATAAAGATTTACAAATGCTGAAACCAGCTTCTAATTCAAATCAGAATTTCTAAAATGCTTACATGCTACCTTGACACACTGTTTTGTGTCATAGTCACTTGACAAACCTTTTAATTCCATAAAAAACTTTATTGAACATGAGTGATGGGTAAACCAATTGACGACAAAGCTTGCTCAGCAGTAAAGCATTTCTCCAGATACCACATGTTGATCTACTGGGGTACGGCCAAGAATACTGGCTTGGAATTTCTGAAAATCTCATGTAAAACTTCCCTGACAGACTTCAGAGGCAAACCATAATCAAACAAAACAAATACGTGTCAAGTGAGGCTTAGAAGTTGCCGACATTAAATGGATGCTTCCATCACAACAGATAAGATGATGTCTGCTGTTTTTCGACTGCACATTACCAACATGGTCCCACACTTCCCTTTTCTGACACATATTGATGTTTTCCTCTCACCTTGAAAGTGGTTTTGTGATGTGATTTAAGGTTTCAAGCAAGTGAAATAAAAATGAAAAGGTTTTTGGTCTCTTTCTGTTTTGATATTTCCACTGATCTGCCTCGGTTACGGGGGAGGTGTTGTTGTTGATGGATTGCATAGTTGCCGTAATTTCCCATAGTGGTCAGTCTGGCTTTATCTGAAATTCATTGTTGTGGGTTTATGCTGACATCTGCAAAATGTAGTTGAAGATCGCTGTGTGCTTCTGCTATCGAGGACTACACAGTGTTCATTGGATGCAGGCCTGAAAGGCCAAGGGAAAATTTGATTGAAAAAAAGATGGTTGAGACAGAAATTCTAAAACCCATAGGAAAGGGTAATTTAATCTGATCCTTTTATTTTGTACTATTATTTCAAAGTAAAGGTTCATGGAAAAATGTGAGGGAGGTAATTATCTTTGTGCTAACACTCCTTGACTTTAATGGCAAACCTGCAAATATTCCCGAGGCACTTCAGAAATGTTTTCATAAAAGATCAAATTCTAAGATTATGATGTCAATATAATCTTCCAAAGACCTTCAATGTGTAAATAGTGCGCCATGATACACTTACACACACACACACACACACACACACACACACACACACACACACGTATACACACACACCCACACAATCACACACACACACACACACACACACATAAAAGAAGTTGTGTTGTTGTTTTTTTCCCCTGCGTGAACCGATCAAATTTTAACTTCACCACTTTCCGCCTTCGCAAAGGCCCCCAGAGTGCTATTTTATACTCTGAAACAGACGGATGAATTTTTGTCTTCGATGAAATAAAAGTGCCACCATTTGTCTTTGCATGTCTTTGCGTGCCTGTGCGCACACTCGATGTGGTTGTAAATGTCATGAAAGGAACAGAGGGAGGTTGGTGATGGAGAGACGTTAGCGGTCACATGTTGGCTGTTTGGTGGATGATGGTCAGGGGTTTCTCTCCCCTCCGTTCCCAACCCTGAGCTACTCTGTTATTAGGGTGACAGAAATGTCCTGTTTAACCCCAAGTGGCTGTGTCAGCTTTAATAAACCAGGCACATGTAATATTTCAATGCCGTTTGGACCACCGTGTCACACTATGGAAAAAGAGCTTCACGCAAGGAGAGAATTATTGGATGAAATCTGTTCGAGTGTTTGTGTGTATCCGTCTCCGTGTTTTTCCAGGTTGACCTTTGTCTGTATTTTAATATGCATCTCAGGTTCTGGGTCATGTCATTTGATTTTGTCTCATCTACAGTACATCGGCCTTCTATAAAATAATTACACTGAAAAAAATGGTGCGTTGGCTTTACCCAATTTTATTTCGTCAAATGGTTGCACAAAATATAATCAACTGGATGCAGAGATATACAGATGTGTATATATATATATATATATATATATATATATATACACACATTTTTTTTAATAGACCACAAATCTATTTTCAAAAATGCATCTAGACCCAGATGATTCTATTGTGTGTAGCCACATGTCAAATAAAATCAACACACAATTGTTTTTCAGGGTATGATTGAAAACAGAGAAATTGTGTTACTGTAGTGAGTCACTTCAAAATAAAATACATGACTTCTGAATTTAATTCTATCCTAATCCTATGTGACCACGCTTGAACTCAAAACACTTGAATCTCAAATCTATTTTCCCCATTCCAATGAATGGAAATGCAATTAATATGTTCCGCACTAACTAGATATGAACAGAAAGCGCTTGCGAACTGCAAGGTAAATTTGACAACAGAAAGCACTCAAAACTAAACGGCAAAAATCCAAACACATAAAACATCATGCAGTCCAAAATGACTTGAAAACAACAAAAAAAAAATAACAAGAATATAGTGAAACAATCCGAATGTGGGCAAGAGGTCTAGAAAACATTACTAGAGCATAAACAGCAAGCAAGAGCAACAATCCAACAAGAGACTCAGCAGCTTGGCAGTCCTTTAATACCTAGCAGGCTTGATTGGAAACAAGCTACAGGTGCACCTTCTGAAGAGGCACGCCCTCCACTCCAACTGGTGCTGTAAACAAACAAAAAACATCATACTTTTCCGGATGTAACAAGCTATCTGGCATGTTGCTCTTTACTGGATCAACCAAGAAACATGAGTAAGATGCAATTAAATGTTATAGAGAGGGTTCAACAGCAAATAAATAGTATAGTGGAAAATTATAGTCATGTTGAATTCTGTGTTGTAATGAATACCATGTCTACTACTAATTGAGCTAAACAGACAAGTGAAAGGTTTTCTGAGATGGCCTTACTATTGTTGTAACAGCAGTAATGTTTTTTTATCGCGCCTGGAAATCATAGCTCACTTATCGCTGTGTAAATGTCAGCCGTGCACCACTATATTTCCAATAAACAGAGCCTAACAATGACTCCCAAAGCTTAGTGGGCTGCAAGAGGTGTCAGAGTAGAGGGGGTGGGGTCATGAATTTGCAGCCGCCGAGTCTTTCAATTGGAACATGAGAAATTTATAGAGCCTTGCATAACACAGGCTAAATTGCTGTTGAGGCAGAGCATGTGGAAGAGGTGAAGCAAAGGCAATTAACACCGCTGTGTGATGTATGGGTGAGCTGAATGAATGGTTCTAGTTTTTCCCTCAAGGCCCATGTATGTATACGCACACACACATTTTCCACCTGTTACAGGTTGTACTGTGCAGAAGCGCAGCACATTTACCACCGCATTAATGAATGCCCAACGCATCCACCTGTATCCACATACAAACAAATATTTCCGCGCCTCTCCACGCTCACAACATGAATCATTTTTGTGACCTTGGGTCTGAAAACTGAAGAAATATTTTTGTACTTTTTCCAGGCTTCATACATTATTACTCCAGATAAGCAGAGTCTGTTCCGTTCTCTACTACTCGCCAGTGTTTACGGGTGAGTTTTATATATCCACCGTCTGGTATGCGCACACTT